TAATAATAGATTATCACACTGTCGTTTTGATGTGTGTTTGTCCGTCCAATTTTTTGAGATAAGTTTATAAAGTTACATGCATAGTACAATCAGATCACTTATAAAGTAATCATTAATTACTAATTTGATAAACATAATAATTAATTTGCTATAACATCTTAAACTATAAGATTCAGCTTCTCTTTATTTCCTATTACCATTTACTCAAGTTCTTACTTGGGTGTGTGGCATGTATTGCATTTTCTGGTTTAATTTTAACTAACTAAAGCAAGTTCCATTTTAACCATATTTAGAATAATTGATATTTCCCATCCTCGTTTGTTTACACTTAATAGAGGTCTGAATCTTAATCATTCAGACCTCAGATATTAAGTGCATTTGTTTTTAAAGTCTGAATCTTAATTATTCAGATCTTAATCATTAAGTGTATTTGATTTTTTTACTTCACAACCACTTAATGGTACCAATAAGATCTATAACAAAGACTTAATTTCATTAAGATGCTATCATCCATATTTATTAACTGTCGCAACCGCCTACCATTATCAACTATCACCATGTCATCCACCACCACCATCATCCTCAATCATATCCGCCACCATTGTCGACTACCACCACCCACCATTCCCACCACTCCCATCACCATCATTCTCAACGACAACCAACACTCATCCACCTCAACTACCACAACTAACCACCCCATCACCATCAACAACTATAGCTGGCATTGCCCATCATTATAAACTACCACCACCCACCACCATCTTTCTCAATTACAATTACTACCACCACCACCCGTCATTATTAACTAACACCACGCACCATCACCATCCTCAATCATAATAGCTACCACTACCAATCACCACTAGCTACTACCCTAAACTACCACCATCAACCAAATCTATCACTAACCACCGCTTTTAGTCTGCATTCACACCAACAAGTATCATATTTTAAAAGCTATATATTTTAGTGATGGAATATTAGATTAATTAATATTTTATTTGAATTTTATATTTATTAATTTTCAAATAAACGTAAATTTTATATATTCAGATGTTATAAATCAAACCGTCTTAATCATTTAGTATTCAGATCTTAATACACATCTTAATATTCACATGTGTATTTAGATTCAGATGTCTTAGTCTTAATACATATCTTAATATTCAAACGTGTATTCAAATTCAGACGTTTTAATCTTAAAAAAAAAACAAATAAGGCCGGGCTACTTAACTTTTAATATTTCCTCCATCTCCGGCGCTCATATGTATAGTTAATTATTAGTTCCCCAGAAATCTGCCGCCAATGGAAAAAATCTTGACAGCAGAGAACTAAAATTTATCAAATTCTTACAATAGAAATCAAACTTCTGGAGATCATTCAAATCTCTACGTATATACTCACTTGTACGGTCAAACCTCTTGATAACAACATTATTTATTTCAAATATTTTTAGATGTTATAGTGAAGTATTGTTATATATAAAAAATATATATTATAATACAATATAAAAATTGGTTCTGAAAAAATTTGACTTTTATAGTAAAGTATTGTTATATAGGGAAGTTGTTATACAGAGGTTTAACTGTATCATTATTAACAAAACTTCATAGGACATACTAGTATTTCATTTTCATCATCATATGTATACTTTGGTTACTCGTTTTTTTCACAGCAAACACCATTAATTGAAGAAAAGAAAGGATGGCCATCAACGTTCAATTGAAGAAAATTTTGAATGTATAGAACTGGAGTATAATTTTAGAAGCTAAATTTGAACTATTCCTCCCTATCGAGATTCTTTGGACCATATTTTCTAGTACCTTTCCTATGTTCATTGCTATAACATCATCTATTTTTATCTATACTATATTAAAAGCACGAAGGTCCTTAGCGAAATGTCGTTCGCCTTTTTTACCCTCTAAAACTTGATTTCGTACTAGACAAATTAGTCATTTCATTATTTCTCCTAATTTTTTTAGGACTTTAAAATCACCTAAGGTTTTTCTTATATCTTTCCTTAATCCTTTTTGGAAGTATATATGTAAAAAGTCATAATATTTGGTAACATGTAACACATTAATTATCAAACCTAACATGAGTAATTTTCCATCCAAAGAAAAGCTACATTTCCATTGTTAGATATCCTTCAACAAATATAAGAAGTATAAAAAGAAATCAAGAAAATTAATTTAAAAATTAATTCTACACTCAAAAATTATTTAATTATTTTTCTAACTTTTAGGACGTTAAAATTAACTGAAATTTTACTTATTATATTTTTTTTATTTGAACTATGTAAAAGTCTTAATATATAGAATTATATGACGTGTAATATATTTATTAAATCAAAACTAACGTGAGCATTTGTCATTCAAAGCAAAGCAAAACTTCCACTGTGATATCCTTCCATTGTGATATTACCATTGTTTCAGCTATTGTTTCTCTTTTACTATAATTCAAGAGTCTAAAAAGTAACTTTATCAATTAAAATTTGAATGATTATAATAAAATAACAATAAACATAGGTTTTCTACCTTATTTTTCTGTGACCTTTATTTTATATGACCATTCAATTAAAATTTTCGTATGATAACCTACATGTGAAGTCTTTTTTTTTTTGTTTTTCTTTTTATAACCATTCTAATAAATGACAGCTTCCGTTATTTTTTTTTATAAAATATTAACTCTAATATTAGATTATTTTTAAAATTTTATATTATTATTTATTTATCGAGCTAACGGGCTAAAAATGATCAATGTTCATCATATTTAAGAACTTATATTTTTTATTTTACTTTATTCAATAACTCAGATTATTTAATATTTTTTCATATTTTTAAAAAATTATTTATTCATTGATATAGGGTACACGCGCAAAGCGCATACCATAATACTAATATTATTAAATGGACGAGGTAGTACTAGATCCGGCCTTACGCCATTGGTACAATACAACAAACCATTATTCAATTGCTCTAGTCGACAGTTAAAAAATGCACTAACTTCCATATATTAGGTCATTCTTTAGACTAGGGGTGTTTATAAAAATTCGAAAAATCGAACCAAACCGAAAATCAAACCGACCAAAAAAACTGATACTTTTTGGTTTGGTTTAGTTTTAGTTTTGAAATTTAAAAACCGATCAAATTTGGTTTGGTTTTGGTTTTAATAAAAAAAATCGAACCAAACCGAAAATCAAACCGACCAAAAAAACTGATACTTTTTGGTTTGGTTTAGTTTTAGTTTTGAAATTTAAAAACCGATCAAATTTGGTTTGGTTTTGGTTTTAATAAAAAAAAACCCGAAACAAACCGAATATAGGAGTAGCTATTTTAAATTCATTATTACACCTATATATATGTATACTTTTATACAAAATTTCAAAAATTTTATAGTAAATGTTAATCGTTTGCACTTTTAGTACAGTTTTTTACCTTTACATTCTAGTTTGATTGGTAGTTTTCTTTGATTAACTGTAAGAATCTATTCATGTTAAAAATAATATATTTTTAATTGAGTTCTTAAATTATTCATCACTATTTGATTCAATTATCATCAATATATCTTGGTAAATAATAGATTTCTCAAAGGGCAATTGATTTGATAGTGTTACGTTGAAAATGTGATCGCCAAAATATGTGTTTGGTAGTGTATGTCTTATATTTAAGAAAAAATCGACAAATAACCAAAAAAATCGAAAAACTGACATAAACCGAATCGAGAAAAAACCGACTTAATTGGTTTGGTTTGGTTATAATATTTGAAAAATATTTGAAAAACCGACTTACTTGGTTTGATTTCTTTGTATGGAAAAACCGATTCAAACCGAACCATGAACGGCCCTGCTTTAGAAATAAAATAATACTAGTATAATTCTCTAAAGTGAATATAAAAATATAAGTAACAACTTTGAATGTAGTTAAAAAATTACAGTTAAACTTTAATCTAGCCTGCTTATAACAGTCTGTCTTCACTCTTCAACAATATTGCATTTGTCTCTTCTATTAAATTAAGTGGACAGGCAATAACCTATGGTTTACAGTGGTGTATCTCGCATAGATTCCAAAGCATTATCTTGGAAAGTGAGACTCTAATTATTGTAAACATGATAAAGGGAAAGAGCAACACTGCTTGGCAACTTCAAAATTCTATAGATTCTATTACTTAAATGCAATCTCAGACAACTAATATAGTTCAACATTGTTACAGAGACGAATCAGATTGCAAATGCGTTAGCAAAATGAAGCATGGAAGAACATGAGAGGCAATTTTATGATGTTAAGGATCTTCCTAGACAGACTGTTGGCGCATATTTTCTAGATATACAAGATACAGCCTCCATAAGGCACAAACAAAGAAGGAATATGCTTGTCTAATAATTTTTTTGGAAGTTTTTGAACTGTTAATATGTTTTGTTTCTCCCCACATATGCTAGCTTTGAAAAGTGGCTGGGGTTAGTGTTAACCTTGTTTTGTTGTAACCTCTGTTTCGTTATGAAATAAAAGGCAGCGTCTCCTTAAAGCGCAAATTACAAAAAAAAAAAAAAAAAAAACAAAAAAAAAAGTGGACAGTCATTCCACTTGGTGTTTCTTGCAAGTGGGATTACCAGAACTCTTTGTCAACTCTTCTATTCTGTAATATTTGTTGGGAAGGGAATATAATGAATATATATAACACAAAGTAATAATTGAATTGTTTTATTTAGTTGTCATTCAATGTTTGTATATATATTATAAAATAGTTTAACCTACGGAACATGGATTGTTCTTTCTTTAGTACTTGGACAACTATTATGATATCCTGATGAAGAGAAAAGAAATCAAAGTGCAAGGGAATTTAATATTGAATATATTAAATAAACACACATGGTTGCATTCATCGTTTTCTAGTCAAAAAACTGAAGCACAAATAGAAAAACAACAACAAAGACATTATTAACACATCTTCCAATATAATTCTTCTGGTAAACACAAACTAAAAGATAGATTTAATTATTGGAGAAAAAAGGAAAGCATATTTTATTTCAATCATAATGGAAGCTGCTAGAGAAAATGTTTATTTACTTAGAAAAAGTACATATATAGTTTCTCAATCCTAACTATATATACTTCTTCCAAAACATTTTCCTATAAACACAAACATTAAACTCCTTTGTATAAAATCAAAATACAGATAGAAAATTACCTTGTAGTGATCATCTCTTCCTATCTTTCTTTTTATTCCTCAATTTTTTTTTTCTCAATAAGGTGGTCGAGGAGTTGCCCAATTAGCATATGCATCATGATTCAATTGTCCACCATTTGGTAATAAATTTGGTGTAAAATTATATATAGGTAGTGATGTTGGATCAGGCAATTCATGTTGTTGTTGTTGTTGTTGCCTTTCACCACTTGAACCTAAGGCCGGAGGCGAATTTCCGGCCGGTACTGGAGACTGGCCGCATCCGTCGCCTCCGCCGTCCTCCTCCTCTTCTAGTGGCAATCTTTCATATGTTGCATTAGAAAAAGTAGCTGCTATTATCATCACTGGTCCAGCAGATACTAGTGGTCCAACAACACTACCACCAACCACCTGTCCTTGGCCACCGGCCAAATACACTGTTAGCCCGGTCGAGCCAGGAGGGGCTGGACCGGGCAAAAAAGCTCCGGTCAACGACAAAATTTCGAATCTTCCTTGAAGAACAACAACACCTGGAGCTGATGGTTGCCTTAGGGTTACATTTGCAACCGAACCATTCCCACTCAGTACACAAACGCCACGTTGGCGTCTCCTCGCGAATTGAGCAATGCTATCGGCCACATCTGTGCCTCCGGCCACCTCCATAACGTGGCTCCGGAGGGCATTAGGGCTATCGCGGGTTACAAAAATTGGTGGTTTGGGTTTGTTCTTTGATCCTGAAGGACGACCTCTAGGTCTTCGATTGCCAACTTCAACAGCACCTTCTTTAGGTTCATGATCACCATTTTCGCGATCGTTGTCTTCTTGATTTTCACCACTGCTTCTACTTTCGTTTATTGAAAGTTGCTTTGTTAGTAGCATAGGTGAGCAAGATCCTGGCTCTAGGCCAGGCAAGCCCACCCCACCACCCCACCACCTATTAGCCAGAGTTGCAAATTCCACAAAATATCAACTAAAAATTTAGCTCAAACACAAGACCAATTCTTACTTCGTTGATCTGTTAGACCCTAGAATGACCAGACTTTCTTGAAATATATGCTTTTGTAGATTGAAGGTAGAATTAGGGTACGACGGAAACTTTTTTTTTTTTTAAAGGTGTAGATAGTCTAGAAGAAGGGAAGAGAATTAGATGCAGAAGTAGTTCATGGAATCAAGTAAAGGAATTAAAAGAACAAACAAAAACAAGAAGAGAAAAGTAAATTAAAGAGAAACAAGTGATCTTAATTAAGTGGAGGGGGAAATAAGGAACAGATGCAAAAAGAGGAACAGCAACCCTGGAAAGAATCAAACCTAAAGGAAAAAAAAAATAGAATAAAGCACAAAGAGATTGAAAAGAAAAAACTATAGAGGAGAGAGTTTATCTAATTATATGTATAACTTTATATTTAATTGCAAAAGGTATGAAGAGAGGAACATGAAAAGAGGTGAGTAAGAAATGATTTTAGAGAGATGAGTTGAGGAGTTTTTTCTTCTTTTCTGTGCGTAGTTTATAGAAAGAACATATACCGGCAGAGCCACGGTGTTGGTCGCGGGTTTAGTCAACCCCAGTAGATTTTGTTTAAATTATGTATTTGTATTAAGAAAAATCAATAAATATGTACAAATTATTAATTCAGAACTCATTAACTTAAAATAATTATAATTCCGAACTCATAAGTTTCACTCCGTATCTAAACATAATTATATGTCTAACTTTTGGTGGAAATGACACCAGGTAGCTACTTCTAAGCATGTCGTTTAAAATATATTCACAATTTACAATATATTTAAAGATTAGCTAATTTCGCTCAAACTTCAGGACACGACGTCCTAGAGTTTAAACCTCAAAATTCAAACTTCAGGATATCATGTCCTAAAATTCGAAAATTATGTCTTGAAATTCGAATCTTATGTTCTGAATTTTAAATGAGTAGTTCGAAAATTTAAAATACTTAGTCCTGAATTTTAAATTAGCAAATCAAAAATTCAACACACTAAGTTCTGAATTTGAAAATTCAGAATACTTAGACATCAAGTTTAGGTGAATTAGCAAATTTTAAATATATTACTTCGCATATCTAGTGTGAGTGTTAAAAGGAGTGTAGAGAGTACAGAAATTAGGGTTTTTTTGAAGTCACTATCCAAATAGTCCAAAATCGTGGGGTCTGTTTGCGCGTGGGCAGGTGGGATTGTGGGAAGCACGTCGCTATCTCTTGCCCCGACGTACGTATATATTGGAATAAGACCGGAATCATGTTTTGGCTTTTGCTTTGGGTGAATAGCGTAGGGTTTGGGGATGACAAGACTAGATAATTTATTTATTTATTTATTTTTTTGTTTACTAATTTCATTTTTTATGCATATAATATTACTTGCAATTATATTTTAGGTGATCTTACATGTGTGGAGGAAGAGTAAAACCTACATGTCCAATCGAACTCAGTAGTTTTGATACAAATTATATATGTATTTGTCTTAATAAAATTCATTGTATATGTACAAATTATTAATTTAAAATCCAGTAACTTAAAAAATTTAGAATCACGAACCCATAAATTTTATATCATGGCTCCACCTATGGAATACATAATATTCAAGGTGAAAAAAATCAGTTAAATTTTCATATTCAGTATTTACACCAAATTAATAGATGCATAAATATCATTTTGTTTAACTATCAACTTCTATCACTTAATCGCAGCAAGTTAATACGGTTTGAAATAAACATGAGTGAATGTAATTGCTATATTATGTGAATTCTATTATGATAGTGATTAAAATTCAGCACAACACATGAAATTAACCCTAAAAATTTCTCTAGCTTGCATTCCTAAGGTATATAGGGAGTATAAAGTTTTGGTTTCAACCAACTAATCATTTTATATCTCCTCCTATCCTGGACCTTAAAAAAAATTATTAGAAAAGATAGGTATAAGGTGTTGCCAACTGTGTACGTATTTTGTTAATCAATTATTTAGCCTGTCAACCCAACAATTATCGGTACGTAATTTTTGCCGTTCACTTTGAACATTTAAAATTGTATTCCTTCCGTCTCGTTACTTTAACCTTTTACAGAATGTAAGACAAAAGTGAATTGAACGAAATTGATGCTTATTATTTAAAATTAAATTTACCCTTTTAATTTGTAGGTACCATAAATGATAACAGGGAAAAGGGTCAAATTTGCCTAGAACCAACAATAACAATAACCAACAGCATACCTATTATAGTATGCCTAGAACTAACAATAACAATAACAACATCACACCTATTATAGTATCACAAGGTCTGGAGAGGATAATGTGTACGTAAATTTTTACCTCGGGGAGATAGAAAGACAAATTTGTCCAGAGTCCATTACTCAATTACACCATGTATCTGCTATAAGTGACGGATCTAGAGTACAATTATTGGGTTCCTGGGAGCCCAGTAATTTTTACGTACACCTTGTATTTTTATTAAAAAATATGTTAAATATCTATAAATATATACAACTGTAACTCAATTATTATTGTATATTAATTTGAAATTACAACAAGAAACCAAAAATTTCAACTCATGATTCTGTATCTGCCTAATATCTATAGCCTCATTTGTATGGGTCAAAATCAGACTAGAGAAATTCGGCACGTGGAGATGATTGTCATGAGTGACATGCAAATCGATATGGACAGTTTGGCCGAGATCGATCAATGATCGACCGAGCAAGCCACTGAGTGGGTCGTCGGGGCCGAGGTCGAGCAATTTAGATAGAAGTAACGACTAGTTTTGCCTTGGGATCTTCAGAGGGAATATTCTCTCTGTTTGTACTTTTTAGGGTTCTTTGGGAATATCTCATATAAATAGTATGAGAGATATGGCAAAAGGCATGTAAGATTCTATATGATAAGAATATGTTTGAAAAGTAAGCCCTCTGGATAAATATAAAGAACAACTTTCTGGAGGGATTCGACTTTTTGGTTTATCTATTGTTATTTTCACCAGATCCAAGAAAGTGCTCAATATTCTCTTATATTCTTGTCATTCATCATTGTTAGAGGGAGGAATCATTCACCTCATTCAATATTGGGTGAATCTTCCTCCTTATTTATATTTATTGTCATTTATTGTTATTTAATACTTGATATTTCATGTACATTATTACATTCGATACATTTATTGTTAGCACCTTAATTTCGTTTCTTCACTGATCATGTCTTTCGTGCTATCAACTCAAGGTCTGAAGTTATTAGCTTTAACTAGGGTTAACCATCCTTAATAACTGATTTATTAGTTTAACCAAAGATTGTTGTTTTTTGGTCAAACAATGTGGTGTCGTTTGTGAGGAGATTCTAGTTAAAATCTTAGTTTCTTTCAAATCTAAAAAAACAACACAAAACCTTGTCTTTTCTTGCATGCAGAGTTGAACATGGCGGGTAATAGAGAGGAAAGAATGAAGGGAGTATCCAGTCTTACTAACAACCTCCTAAACACCATCAACAAAGTCACTGGAACAGATACTGAGGACGTGACACCAAACGCCTCCCTAGGTGGAGTGGTTCACCCCTACCTCAAAGCACCATCGCAGCGTCACACAGTAAAAGGGCCTATACATCCACAACGGAAGAGGCACCACCGACAGTAAAAAAGCTACTCGAGACGCGGTTGACAAACACACTGACCGGCATTCTCGACAAGCCCGCCCAGAGGACGAATAGAGAAGATACGAGAGTTTGCATCACACCAGTGACAGACGAGCAATACGACCCTCCTCCTGTAATAGGTATTACTCACAATGTTAGTGGTGCAGGTAACGACACCCTCACATCCATTTTGAGGAAAATGGAGGAGATGGAGAATGAGAACAAAATGCTCCGTGACTAAATTAAAAAGCATTAGGAAAGGGTAGACAAAATACCTGGTACCCCAAAACTCTTACCAAAACGGGACGTCGGTCGCTTCATTAAGCAACCGTACAGTGACGAAACTGCACCGCACACCATACCTAAAACTTTCAAAATGTTCCGTACTTGAAAATATACAATAGCACGACAGACCCTAAGGATTATGTGACTTACTATGTCATCGTAGTAAAAGGCAACGACCTCGCCAAAGAATAAGTGTCTTCCATATTGCTGAAGAAGTTTGGTGAAACCCTTACCGGGGGAGCACTAACTTGGTACTCACACCTACCTGCACACTCCAAAGAGACGTTCGAGGAAATGACCGACAAGTTTGTAACTGACCATGCCGGGGCTAAGAAAGTAGAGGCGAGAGTGAATTATATTTTTGCCATTAAACAATCACCCAGTGAAGGACTAAGAGATTTCCTTGCCTGATTCAACCGTTTGAGGATGACCTTACCCAATGTATAAGAAGGAATGACAGTAGCAGCTTTCCATAATGGGTTAAACAAGAACGACTCGAGAGAGACCAAAAGTGAAGTGGCCGCAGAAGATAAGGTCTGATCCAAACACAAGAAAGTCAAACGCCCTCTGTGAATTCCATCTGGAATGGGGCCACAAAATCGAGGACTGCATCGCTCTAAGGCAAGAGATCGTGAACATGCTTCACCAATGGGATCTGAAAGAACTTTTGAGCGAACGAGAAAGGGAAAACTTTACTCGAGGACAAGAACAGCATCAGGGTCCATAAAAACCGCCCTCCCCAACTCGAGCCATCCAAATGATCATCGGAGGAGGTGACGACGCGTCAATCAATAGCGTAAATTTCACGACCACCCACAAACTGAAGTGGTTAATCACTCACGAACGGTACGAAGAATTCAAAGAAAGTATCATCTTCGATGAGTAGGATACCTACGGTTTGGTCTTTGCTCACTATGATGCCTTTGTCATTACTTTACGCATCTTAGACACTGATGTAAAACATATTATGGTCGATGATGAGAGTTGCGTGTGCATTATCCACCCTCGAGTTCTCGCACAAATGAAGCTC